TCTTGTTAAGAGGACTAGTGTAAAATAATGCCCCAGATACTCTTTGTTCAGCTCCTATCCTACAGGATATTGTCTTGTGTGTACAGGAGCAGATGGGAACCTCCACCTGCTTACCATGCCATCCTATCATGAACACAAAGTGGGGTGTATTTTTAAAAAGTGAGATCATAGAAAAGCGACCAATTTTTACGACCACGAGGGAGACCAAAAAGGCGATTGAGAGATAATATCCAGACAGACCTGCAAACACTTGGTGTTACCAACTGGAAAGAGAAGCCAACCAGAGAGATAAATGGAGGTGGGTGATATCTGCAGCAATGATGAACCTCAAAGGATCAGAATGCTGAAAAAGAAGAAGAAAGAGATCAGAGAAATTTTCAGGCCTGTATCACATGAAGTAAGACAAAGAAGGTAGAGATACATTGGGCCCACTCTGAGACGAAATAAGCAAAGAATTACAAACAATCACTAAAATGGGAAACAGACGATCTGATCAAAAGAGAACATCCAAAGGAAATATTAAGAAGAATATAATTATGAGAGGCTAAAAATGCTGGGCTGAACTCCATGTCACAAATTGCAATAATTGCCTGCAATAGAGCGGAGTGGAGGAATCAAATAAAAGCCCTATGTGACATCTAATGGCACACAAAGGATGATGATGATTCGATTGTCTAAGATGGAATCAGTTTTTGAGAAAGCAAGATATTTTTAGATGCCTTTCATTCATTCAGTATTTTCTCTTCTACCCTAGGGAGCACAGGTATGTTGTTATCTTGTTTATCTCCCCTCTTCTGAACTGGGGTATTCTAAACAGTTTTGTTTAGCCTTTCATCTGATACTCTGGGTGTGGATGTGTTTGATTATTTTTTTTTCTCTCTCTCTCTCATTTTAGAATGTGTGATATTGTTTTCAAATGTTTATCAAAGCCAGGACAGTTCAAGTCACCTTCTATTTCAACTTTTTGAACTCTTATTTGTGAAGAGTACTTTCAGTTGAACTTAGCGAGCTTTCTATGTTTAAAGATTTCCCTCAATTAAACTTGTTGAACTCTCTATGATTGATGAGTTCCTGTCATACATGAGCTATATTAATTCTCTGCCATGTAGCGCAGTCGATAGGAGGCTCGCTTTCAAATCCAGCTGCGATTCGCTGCAGCCACGGTCGGTGTTCAAAACCGTGTGGTTCCCGGGGTTCACCAAGCCTCAAGGAAATGGGTACCAAAGTTGACACTCTGGGGTGAATGGAGGAACGTCACTGTAGCTACAGAGTTACATGCGGACAGCGACACATGCGGACTGTTTCTTATCAGCTGTCCGTACTGGTGGCAAAGCACTTATGGTTTTGTGTGCAGTGACGCTGGTTCACATCTCCCGGCTTTATTTACCTTTACCTTTTTTGTGCACATAGAATACTCTTTATAGTTAAAATTCTTCTTCTTCTTCTTGTCCTTCTGTTTTTGCCAAAAAAGAATCGCAGAGAGGAGTTGGATGTAGTTTCCTTCTTTTGCTGGTTGTGTAGCTTGTATTAATGCCATATTGAGATTCTATAGTGTTTCTTTTACTTCCTCCACCGATAGCATTTTTGGTCTGCCTCTTGCCTTGTAGCCTACCTGTTCTCATATAGTATGCTCTAGCTGCTGGCTGATTTTGATCCATTCTGACCTAAAGACCAAATCATTTGATTCTTTGATGTTCTGGGAAATAGTTTTACTGCAGTGTGCCTACCATTGTTCTAAGTTTATAGTTGCTGAATTTGTCTATTTTTGTTTTCCCTGCCACATTTCTTATAAATCTCATGTTGTTTAACCTGTTTATCACCAGTTATCAGGTCCTTTACAGAACATCAGTGTCTTGATAGCCCGCCTAAAAGTTTCTCTTTCTGCAGCGGATGCATCTTCAGTGTCTTGTATCCACATTTGCAGAGATCAGCCTCTGCTTCATTTCTCAGAAACTGTATCTATCAAGGTCAGCAGGACACTTTACATGGCCAAAACGGCCTCAACTGTGGGATAGGATGCTGTTTATGAGCCAATTCTCTTTTGTGTCCAGATCATGTAGGATGTTGATGTTGTTCTTCTTCTTGGTCCAACAGTTATCTAACTTTTTTTTTTTTTTTAGTTTAGAAGCTCAGATTTTTGCTTTAAAGATTGAACTTGTTGAGCTCTCTGTAAATTTAAACAAACAAACAACAAAATTGGTGGATAGATAGTCTGCCTCCAAAATTAAAATAATTTGATTGTATTCAGTGTCGCATCGCAGTTAATAAACAAGAACAGTAATGAAAAGCATGGTTCCTGTTCTGTTTGCCCCCAAAAATTTGGGGCCGGGGAACTCACACGAGGATTTAAACTGTACAATAATTTAAATATGTAGCTCCCAGTTTCACTCACTTTCTGTCTTCATTTGGTGAGGTTAATATAAAACTGCATGACTTTTGCATCTTTGTCAAGTATTTTTTTTTTTAAATGTAATAAGCACTTGAGTTTGCTTAGATGTGATTTTAGGAATGTGACAGCCTAATTTGCATCTTTTTTTTTTTAAATATATTTACAGCTGAGAATTTGTAAATGCCAGGTTTTTATGCATGACATTTCTTGTATATAATTTCCAAATCCTGAGTGTCTGACTGTCTTATATGTCATTGAATGTGTTTACTGTATTATCTCGCATGCTTTTTTTGCTGTATAAATGTGTCAGTCTGAAATATTTGTGTGTGAATTGAGTGTCCAACAATCTTCTCTAACAATCCAGGTAGGTGGATCCGGCCACATGTATTACATCACTGCACTGTGTGTGTTTGAGAATGCAGGATGGTAGAGTCCCTAAGGACATCCTCTGTAGTGAATTACAGATAGGTAGAAGAAAGTGAAGCCTAATGAGAATGCAGGATGGTAGAGTCCCTAAGGACATCCTCTCTAGTGTATTACAGATAGGTAGAAGAAATTGAAGCCAGCCTCCACTACGATATGAAGATGTGTGGGTGTAGGACATGCATGATACAGAATGATATAGCAGATGTTGAGGTGGATTCGTGGGACCAGAATGCCATAGAGAGGACAAATAGAGAGGGAATGAGAATAAAGGAAGAAATTATAGCAAAAAGAATGAAAGCTGAGTGTCTGAGAAGAAACACACCAAATATAAATGATGCTGTGATTCAAATGATGTGGAAGACTTTTCTTAACGCGGGTGTGTCTTGCTAGTCACACTCGTCATCACCATGGGCTGTGTATCCCATGCCTGCTCCTAGCGCAACATAACACTGTCGTCTGGAAAGATGCCAACAACAACATTTTCATCTTTGCATTGAGGTTGAGCTGCAGGAAGGCAGAACTACATGTGGTAGAGCCCCCAGGAAAAGGGCTCAGACTGCTCAGTACCTACCCTTACCTCTCCATGGTCATCCTAGAAACTGGTTCTCAGCCAGGGGCCTGGCCAGCAAAAAAGAGATTGTTGTTGTCTTCAAAATCAAGTGCATCCAAATGAGAGGCGAGACACCAACAGTCTGCACACAAATAAGCCAGATCTGTAAATCAGATGTGCACATAGAACTCAAGTCATGAAACAAACTAGGGTCCAAAAGTGGATGAACAACCAAGACTTTCTGCCGGAGTTTACTGCCTGTAAACATGAAGGAGGAGACCGGATGTGGAGACTCTATGTGGAGACTGAGCATAGAGACCCAGGGTAGAGGACCCAGTGTGGAGACCCAGCGTAGAAACTCAGTGGGAAATGGAAGTTAAGATGTTTTGTGAAAAGTAAAGATGGCAGTTCTTCTAACCTCTTCATTTCTCACACAGTCTTTTCTGGTTTTGTTTATAGTAGCTTTCTCAAAACATCTCATTTCACAGGTGGGTAGCTTTTACTACAGTAACACTTAAATAAAGTGAAGCAAATAAATTAATCCTCCCAGCAACAGGGAAACATTGCTTTGAATTGTTAGTGTTCGTTAAACTCACACTTCTATTGTATACTGTTCTTATTTTAATGCTACATCCAAAACTCATTACTGTAAAGTATTTTTAAGAAAACCAAAAACAAATATTTTAATTTACATGCATGCATCCAGTTGTTTATCTCTGAGAATAGTAAATGTCTGGTCTAAAGTTGATAAATGTGGTGAATAAAATTAAGCCAGTTTATAAATGTATGTAGTTGAAACAAAAGGACCTTCAGTACATTAAAACAGATGTTTAGTGTACTGAAGACAGCGTTCTTTAATTCTGAAGTTGATCGATTTTACAACAAACATTCAGTATTTCTAATCTCCCAAATTGATTGTTTTTTTTGGGGGGGAGGAACAACTTGTTTTTGTTCCCTAAAGTGACTACAGTCGAGTCCACTTAAGTCGAACTCGGATAAGTCGAATTGTTAAGTCAACATGACCAGCTAAGTCCTGGCAATTGTCTCTATTTTGTGTGTGCTGTCTGGATAAGTAGAAATCGTGATAAGTGGAAGCATTTTCTTAGGTCCCTGGGACTTCTACTTATCCAGACTCGACTGTATTTAAACAAAACAGTGTTTATATTTTAACATATAGCTGTTATATTTTAAAACCCAATTTGTGGTTTTTATACCATTTCATTCCCAGAATTCCCTGTTTTGGGTTTGTGGGGGTGGAGAATAAACCCACCTCCCCCTACAAGCATGCTGTGAGAGGCAACTAATTCAGTTAGCTTAAATCGGATGTATTAGGTCGAAAAGTGCAGATGTCGCAGTATATTTGTAAACCTCAACACGATAAGTCAACACCATTTCAAGAACAAGCATAGAAGAAGATGAATTCCAAAAAGGGATTTTTAATTAATTTACTTCAAGATTTATCGAGCAGTATTGAATTATTTTTGAACACATGTATTTTTTTTTATATTTTTTTTTATTAACGACTTGGTTCTAACAGATTTTAGTCACAGTTGAATCACAAAATAGTCTGCTATCAGACAGCCTTTCCTAAAAATAGACTGAGTGATATCCGTGCATTTTGTTTTCACTTGCCAGGACACAGATTCAGAGAATTGCAGCCTTAGATTCGAGCTGGGCCCATCTCGGCAACGGTCTAAATGCTCACAACAATCCGGCCTGGTTACAGCTATACCTGAGTGTCTGCAAGCTGCTGGACATGTGTGTCGTGCTGCCCGCTGACCAGGTGCCACAGTTCCAGTTGTAAGTATGCCTGTTTGGGTGTTGTTATTATGTGGTTCTGCGGCTCCATTGTGGGGAAAACCAGATTAGACCCACTGCCTTCCCTGCAAGCATGTCCTAAGAGTCAGTTAACTAGGGGTTTCCTTGGAAATTGGTGTGCATCTGCCTGAGGCAAGGAACCAGCAGTCTGCATACAAATAAGTCAAATATGCAAAACGGATGTGCACGCACACTCAGGTTCTGGAATGAAACTAAAGTCCAGAAGTGGGCGAACAACCAGAACTTTCTGCCAGAGCTTACAACTGAATGCAAAGAAGAAGAGAATATTTGTTAAATACAATCTCCAGGCCCAGCTTATAAAATATGAAAATATTTCTGATATTTTGGAACCATATTTTGCAGCACGGTAGTTGACATTTTCAGAAACATAAAGGACATTTTCCAAACATCTGGGGCATCAGGTTTGTAGTGCTGGACATATAACTGTATAGACCTGGCACTTGATGGGTGATGTGGTCACCCTCGCCAGAACCATGGGCAGGGATTCCCAAGCCTGGCTATAGCACAGTGAATCACTGTCGTCTGGTAAATTGGAAAGGTGCTGACCAGTAGGAAGAATAATTTCCATCAAACAGTTAATACTGAATTTACTTTATGGTGAGTTGATCGACCAAATTGGTTATTAACCATCATCATCATCACCGTGTAGCAGATCCTGTGCAGAGCGTCACTCTCATCATGGTCTGTCTAAAAAAGCTGGGTCTCTCACCAGCTCTCCCCCCTTATGCACTTGTGTATCCAAGAAGTTAACTTATATCCTGTGTCTGTTTTCATGCTTATCAACCCTGCCCCTCCTTCTTGCTATCCTTCTTGCCACCATGCCTTCTGCTATTATTTGTTTTCCAATCGGCTACAGTGTTTGGTGTGGTGAGAATATTTCAGCTTCCAAGACAAGAGTCTGACAAGACAATCTTCGTTGATGTTCAAACTTTTTAGAATGTCAGTATTTCTTTTCTTCTTTGTCCCTGGTATTCTGAGAATCTTTCTATAGCATTTCAGCTCAAGAGCCCCTATTTTTTCCCTTAAAGACTAGGAGATAGTCCTCAACTCACATCCGTATGTTGCCTCAGGGAAGATGCATGCTCTTAAAATGATGACTTTGATTTCCTTTTCTGGTGCTTAACCATAGACTTTTAATACTGTTTAATTTTTGTATTGCTGTGGCCATCCTCCTTTTGACCTCTTTTGAACTGTCTTAATTGCCATTTATTATGGAGCCTAGAAATTCAGCGTTTGTGACATTTTCAGTTTCTTCATCATTTATTTGGTTATTCATACATAGACTAAAACAGCCATGTTGCTTGTGTGATCATTATAATGTTGGTGTGTTTGTGTCTGATGACAGATATCGGTGGGCATTTGTTGGTACAGCAGGAGAGGACTATTACCAGACTCCAGATGACAGCGACGACCCGTCATGGCGACCCAGTCCCCTGTTTATGCCGCACATCATCCGACTGACACGATTGATGAACAACACGGTCAGTATTTGCTGCAGTTGTCCATAGTGTCTTCTCATCAGATTGTTGCTTTCTTATCATCTTTCCTTTTGTTTCTTCTTTCGTTCGCTTGAAATAGATTATCTACAAGGTCCGACAATTAAGTAATGAGACTGATTTTATTATGGCCAAAACAAAAATGCCATCTATGAAGCAAAGCATGGAATCTAAAGAGACAACATTCATCTATGATCTGGCAACTTTTCATCGCCTCACGATAAGCAGACAACAAACAAGCCGCCATTTTGTTGACCTAGTCAGAGGTGCATTGTTATGTAATTAGCACAGAGCAGAAAGCTAACATAAAATTTTTTTTTTAACTCAGAAAAAGCGCTATTGCGATAGTTGAAATGATGCAACAAGTTTATGGGGATAATTTTTTTAATCTCGTGCACAAATTTTCAGGTAGTATTCATGATTCAAAAGTGGTGTGGAAATGATTACTAATGCACCTGGACCTCGACACCAAATTTATGTTCGTAATGATGAATGATCTGTGGTCCTTGCATTTCAGTTGTTCTGTGATCCTTGCAGTTGTAATGTTCTATGGTCCTTGCGGTTTTGTTGTTCTGTGATCCTTGCAGTTCTATTGTTCTGTAGTTGATTTTGACAATGGCATGGAGTGGCATGGTGCATCAACCGTTTAAAATGTTACTGAATATAAAATTGTCTAGTCAAACCAGACTGCAACAGAAAAGGCTGCTTGGTTCTGCAAAATACTGTAAAGGATCACGGGGGGGGGTGGGGGGGGGGGGGGGGGGGGGGGGGGGGGGGGGGGGGGGGGGGGGGGGGGGGGGGGGGGGGGTAAGGGGGGGGGGGGGGGGGTTGGTGGCTCAGGAATTGTGTGCAGTTTCTTAGTCCTGACACTTCTGGCTTTTGAAATCTGCCGTAGTCAGTTTTGTAGCAGTATACAAAGTATATATATATTTTGTATACTTGTATCATCTTCATTAAGTACATTGCATCAACTCTGTTAAATATATATGTATCATTTCCATTAAGTACATTGCATAATCATCATCATCATCCAGTTTCTGTTGACTGTCTGATCAGTTCTCTCCACCTCTGGCGGTCATTTGCAATGGACTTCATGGTTGCATGCCTGAGGCCTGTCCAGTCAGGTTCTATAACCAGGTCTTTCTTGGTCTGCCTTCTCCTCTTTCCATCTACTGAGCCCTGCAGTATTGTTTTGCGAGGCCGTTAGATCTTATTACATGTCCGCACCATTGCATTTTTTCCCCTTTTCACTGTAGTTAAAAGAGATTCATAGTTGCCAATGTGCTGTATAATTATATGGCGAACCTCTTCCTTTGTGATGTGGTCTCTGTATGATATACCAAGAATTTTTCTGAAACATAACATTTCTAATGCTTCTATCCTCCTCTCAAGTTTAGCTGTTAAGGTCCACGTTTCACAACCATATGTAAATCTACTAATAGCTAGTGCTCTTATTTTTGCTGGAAGTGTTTAAAGTTCATAATTTTTGCTGCCTGGCAAAGACTGATGTTGTCTGGGCAATCTTAGACGTGATTTCTGGTCTTTACTCCAGGTCACTTAAAATTGCTCCTAAATATTTTAAATGAGTCACTTGTTCTAATTTTTGACCTTTAACGTAGAACATTGCATCAACTCTGTTAAATACACTGGTATCATCTTCATATAGTACAGTTGCATCAACTCTTAAATAGACTTATATCATCTCTATTAAGTACATTGCATCGGCTCTATTAAATACATTTGTATCATCTCTTTTAAGTACATTGCATCAGCTCTATTAAAAACACTTGCATCATCTCCATCAAGTACATTGGTATCATCCCCACTGAGTACAACAGTATCATGTCTGCCTGCAGCTGAAGAAGCGGCCATCCTTGATAAAGGTGGAACCTGGACGCCCAATGTTGACCATCAATCGACTACGCTCCCTAGCAGAACTTCATTCCTTCTTCTACACCCTGTCCTACAACACAGCAGACCGGCACCACACCACAGCCTCCAGTAGCAGTCACTCCAGTCTCCCGTCCAAGGATCGGATTCCCGCAGCAAAGTCAGAGAAAGATCAGCCTCCTGACAGAGCAGGAGGAAGGGATCACGTTGAGACTACGACTTTGTCAAACAGAAAGTATATTGAATACCTGTTAGAGGCTGATTTTCTGGAGTCTGTTGTTTGAGATATGGAGGTTTATTTCACTTTAGGGTTGTTTGTTTTTTTTTTTTTTTTTTTTGAGGGGTTGGGGGGGGGGGGGGGGTTTACAATACAGTGATAGTACAATGTCTGATTGACCAATGAGATTGTATTAACCACATTGGCTTTATTTGTAGTCTGCTGTGTGTGTATATTTAGATTTTTGTGATCTGACTGATTGTGACAGCACAGGAAAATGATTGGAATGTTACAGAAAAATTCTTAGAATATCACAGACCATGAAGAAGAAAAATGTTGAAATGTGATCTGAGAATTGAGGAGGATTGGCTCATAAACAGTATCCTGGCCCAAAAGCTGTGGAATTTAGGCCATGCTAGACATCATGGTGACATGGAGGTAAAAAACTGACAGAGGGCTCAGTGTCCAGAAAAGGAAGCTGTGGCTGAGGCATTGGCTGTGGCTGAGGCAGCATGTAAGGCTGGGGAATTGGATAGGGGAAGAGAGACTTTTAGACCTGCAGTGACGAGAAAGATGTTCTGCAAAGAACCTCTTGATTGATGCTGATGAGAAAAATTATATGAATGATCTCTCCTATTTCCAAAAAAAAATAAAAATTTAGCTGCATATCCTTTACAGGATGTTGTAGAACCAACACCAGCATTTTTTCGGCTGTTGTGGTTTTTCCTAGGCACATTTTACGTCCAGTAGTTTGCCATTGCTTACTGAACCATCAGCTCTCGGTGCTGCTGTCGAAACAAATGCAAGACAAATGGTCCACAAATGGGATTGAACTCAGCACCCTGGCATTACAAGCGCGTTCGAAATGCCTAAGCCACAGATGCCAACTCTCTCTTATTACACAACTGTTTAAAAATCTTATAATGAGCTGTTTAATAAGTATCGTTAATTATAGAACTGTACGACACTCTACCTGCACAGTTCTATTCATACCTCGGATAGAACAACATTTGAAAATACTGTAAAGTACCTCTTTCACCTCCGAGGTAGAAGGGGTCAGACTTAAAGAAGACTGGATTGTACTTTTTCACCTCCATGTTAGAAGAGGAAAGACTTGAGGTGACCGTAGAACTATCTAACACTTTAGGATAGAAGACGAAAGGTTGAATGGCAGAAATTTTGTGGTTTCTATATTCTGAAAACCACTATGTTGTAAATAAGAACTACAGAAGTTGTTTGTTATACCTAGTCATTTATTCCAATGCTTTATGCTGAAACCCCTGCATTTACCTGACAAGAGGAGGTAATTATAACACGTTACTCATTGGTCATCACAAAATATTAATCTGGCATCATATGCTCAGTCTGTCCCTGGCATGAAATTTGGTCCATTTTTTTTTTTTCAACTTTTTATTTTACACACGCTGTCAGATCTGTGTGTTTGGGTTCATTTCAAACTGTATGTACAGTTTTTTTTTTTTTCAACTTACCTGGGCGATTAAAACAAAACATATTGAGTCCTTACTCTTTGAATGACCAAACCATTTGCCAACTTACAGATATAATAGAAATTATGTCATAGCACTCAGGAAACATTCATATGTGCTCTGTCTCTCTCAGCAGATGTTGGAGTCTAGGATTTGCTGTTTCTCCAGCATACCGATGATGAATGCACTTATATTGTCCACTGACGTATTTTTCCGTATATAAGACATAATGTTTTCTCTGATTTTTTCAATTTTAAAATTAGGTGTTGTCTAAAATATGGCATGTTTTTAAAATATTTATTGGGCTGTCCTCCGAATAACGGTCCCAAATTATTGAGGCCGAAAATATACCCTAACAGGGTCTCAGTCACATGTAAATTGCGGACCTATTTCCATTGACTACACAGCATACCGCAGAAAAACTTCTGCCGAGCTAAAGTCACCGCTGAGAGTTTCCCCCGCGCCACTATGCCCGGTGTGGAGCGGTGCTTAACTAGATGGCTGGGACTCACGAGCAGCAGCTACTGCATCTCCTGCAGTTTCCTCCATTTTATTTGCTCGTGAGTCCCAGCCATCTAGTTTAGCTCCTCTCCACGCCGCTCGTAGCGGCGCGGTGGAAACTCTCGGCGGTGGCGGTATAGTCGCCGGAAATAGTTTCGCAATTTACATAGGACTAAGGCCCTGTTAGGGTATATTTTCGGCCTCAATAATTTACGACCGTTATTCGGAGGATAGCCTATTTATTGTTCAATTTTGAGCTACAAAATACAGGTTGTCTTAAACATAGGGGTGTCTTATACACAGAGAAGAACAGTAAATAGTTTTTCTAGCTCACTGATTACGAATGTACCTTTGTTGTCCCCTACCTCTGATCTACTGCTGCTGCAAGTGATACCAAATAACAACAGTCCTAGTCAGATTGTTTTGTCCATATCCGTATCCATGTGGAGCAACCTGCTATTTGTAACTCATATTGTATGCCCTCTACCCGTCCCTAGGTTAAAGATGTTCTCTGTAATATCTCTTTGACATATGAGGTTTGATAGCCATGACTTTCCCCAACACCAGGTCGCCACTTGAAGATCTGACATTCTGATACTACAGAAATCTTCTTCTTTCGTTCGCATGAAATAAATTATCTATATCTGCAGTGCTCCTTGACTCCCAGGTTGGCCCAGCCTTGAGTGGGTACCGGGTGCAGTTCCCGGAAGTAAAGGTGGCCGGCGTGATGCTGACCACGTCACCAATATTGTGCCGATTGGCCTATAAAAATATAGGTCTAGCCCTATATGCCTTTTTTTTATTTGCAATGCTGCCACTAGTATGAACTACACTGTCTTTTGTAATTCACTCAGTGGCCCTAAAGATTGAATAACTTCCACCAGTGTCTCTCTTGGCCACAAGTTTTGCCTGGAAATGTTTGTATTTGGGACAGTCTTGGGGGACCTGATCTGTTGTGTCAGGTGCCAGTCCGCATTCGCCAATCTTAAATTGTATGTTATGAGGTGTAGGATAATGACTTGCTGTTCTATGACAACATCTCAATCTGGATGGCAGACTAGTAAATCCCAGATGAACCTTCAGTGAAGTTATAATTGAGGCGTCTATAACAGTTACACTAACCTGGTGTTACCTGCAGTCCTACAGGACTACAGGTTATAAACCCAGATGTGACAGAAATTTCTCAAAATCTGTGTGGAGCCAGCCCTGATATGTGGAGGTTAAGCACGGACAGTCAGTGTCCTCTTCTTCTTTGCATTCACCAGCGGAAAGTTCTGGTTGTTCATCCATTTCTGGACTTTGGTCTTGTTCCAGAACTTGAGTTTTGTGTGCCCATGCATTTTACAGATCCGGCTTATTTGTATACAGACAATTTGTTCCTTGCCTCTCAGGTAGATGCACTTGTGACTTCGAAGGTAACCACTAATTAGTTGACTCTTATAACATACAACTCCCCCCCCCTCCCCACAATGGAGCCCTAGAACCCAAACAAAGAGGTTAAGGATATAAACTGAGATGTGAAAAAAAAATTCTGAAAAGCTGTATGCAGCGAGCACTAATATGGAAGTGAAGGCGGACAGTAAATTAATGAGAAATGATGTGGAAACTGCAGACATGTGTCTTTACAGGTGAATGAGAACACCTTGAACATAAATGTCGTTAAGATATCTAGAAAGAACATGAGTGTTGTGAAGATATCTAGAAAGAACATGAGTGTTGCGAAGATATCTAAAAAGATCACGAATGTTGCAAAAATATCTAGAAACAACATGAGCGTTGTGAAGACATCTGATGTGAAGATATCTAGAAAAGAACACGAATTTTGCAAAGATATCTAGAAAGAACATGAGTGTTTTGAAGATATCTAGAAAGAATAGGAGTGTGGTTAAGATATCTAGAAAAAAAAATATAGTTTTGTGAAGATATCTAGAAAGAATAGGAGTGTGGTTAAGATATCTAGAGAAAAAAAATATAGTTTTGTGAAGATACCTAGAAAGAATAGGAGTGTGGTTAAGATATCTAGAGAAAAAAAATATAGTTTTGTGAAGATATCTAGAAAGAACATGAGTCACAAATCCAGAACTGAGGCTAAACAGGCAACTGAGATCCAGTTCTAACTTGCATGCACACACACTCACAGAGTTCACTTGTCTATTTCCACACACACACATCTGATATCTTCCCACACAGACACAGCATACATTTAAACACTCAAGATGTGTCTAGTCTGACAAATTCTCACCCCCCCCCCCCCTTTTTTTCCCCCACCACCACCACACACAGAGTTAAAGTTATCGTACCCAAAAACACACTTATTTCACCAACTTATACTTTCCCAGACGTATACATTGATACACCAGATACCAAGCATCCCATCTCATACGACTTATACCTTCCCAGACGTAGACATTGATACACTTCAGAGACCAAGCATCCCATCTCATACGACTTATACCTTCCCAGACGTATACATTGATACACTTCAGATACCAAGCATCCCTTCTCATACAACTTATACCTTCCCAGTTGTATACATTGATACACTTCAGATACCAAGAACCCCATTGCAAACCCATAGTTAAGATAATCAGTTACCCCCCCCCCCCCTTTTCACCCCCCCCCCCACCCCCCACACACACACACACACACCTGCTCATAATACTAATAATTCGGGTGCACCACACCCACACATGTGCTCACAATACTAATAATTCAGGTACACCACCCACACTCTATGTTTATGATCTCCCTATTCAGTATTACTTAACATATTCTAATTGCCAGACTGGTCAGTGCAATATTCATCATTATCATTTCAAAACACTGCGTGTCATTGGGTTATCAGTTACTGTTGACTGTCTAATCGGTCAGATAAAGTGGACTTCATATTTGCATGTCTAAGGCCTGTCCAGTCAAGTTCTGTATCCAGGTCTTTCTTGGTCTGCCTCTTGCCCTCTGCTGAGCCCTGTAGTATTGTTTTTGAGAGGCCGAACGGAACAAAATTCTCTCTTTTTTTTTTTTTTAATAAATAACCTGGACCTTAGGTTGACCAAGCCTAAGGGAAGTCCTAGGAAGTAAA